CCGGCGGGCTGTCCTGGGCCCCTCCGGCCAGCGGGTACCCGTCGTCAGCCTCGAAACTTCGGCCCTCTCGGGGCTCGGCTCCCCCGTCTGGAAAACCAACGCAGTGTAAAGTCCCACCGCCGTTTGTCTCTGCGATTCTACCGGCGCCTCCGCAGGGGCGGCTACTGCGGGGCGAGGAACCATCAGGCGTCCTTTCCACCCGGGACTGGCCGAGAGAGATGGCCAGCGTGGGAGGGCCGCGCGTGCCCTCCGAGGGCAGGTGCCAGGCCGTCGTAGAGTGGACAAAGCAAATCGTGGATGCCCAAGTGACCCAGACAGGTCAGGGAATGCACCTTGGGCGTCTGCATCCTCTCCTGCGAGAAACGGTGGTAACTCAACCATTGTGGAGACTCGGGGTGGGATGGGCTTCAACTAGCGGCGGGCGCAGAGAAGCCCCACCTGGTGGTTCCACCTATCGGAGGGGACCCTTTCACTACCCCTGTCTTGACGCGGGTACCCTGACCCGGGCCCCTCCTGCACTTTCAAGCCCGGCTCGGCCTGGCTTTCCCCCTCCCTTCAATTCAATCAATTCTCCACGCAGCAGCCAGGGGGAGCTTTAAATATAAACAGATCCCTTGTCTCTGGAATAAAGCCAGAGGCGAACTCCCCTGTACCACTGGGCCGGTACCGCTCACCCCAGGACTCTACCCACACAGGTTTCAGTTCCCTGTGCCCCGCTTTCTCCTGCCCTAGGGCCTGGGCCCACCTTGTTCTCTGCTTGGTGTGTTCATGTTTTCTATGGCTGTCCACCCAACCACTACCTCTTCCAGGAAGCCTTCACTGATTTCCTCATTTGTATAACTTTCTGCCAGACTCAGAGCCCCTTAAAGAGAACCAACTTGTCCTCAGACCTGGAAAGAACCTGACACAGGAATCTGGTAGATTTGTTGCATGCTTACGAATGTGCAGAAATTTCTGGAAGGAACACAGCAAGTGAATTAGAGTGGCCTCTGAGGCTAGAAAAAGAAAGGGACCTCACTATTTCTTCTGCAGCACCTGTCTTCCCACAATATATATACTGCATTAGTTGGGTGGTTTTTGGACCAGTTAAATTTGGACAAAAATGGTGAAGCCTACCTTTCTTGGCATTCTGAGGCTCAAAGCAAATGACATCATGCAGAGACAGGGAGGTTAGTGGAGAATGGGCATTTTCCCAGCAACCGTGGCCTCTCCCACCCCCACACTTGCTCCCAGTAGAGTCCCAAAGCCTAGTCCAAACATCATCAAAATATTTATTAAAATCAAAGCAGGAGGGAACAGAGCTGTTAGGAAGCAAATCAAAGTGCAGATTGGAGGGTGGGCAGAGCAGTAAGTGGAGGGGCCCTTCAAACACACAGGAGGGCCCCTGTGGTTTGGCAGGGGAGGCCCCTCCTCCACCCCTTCTGCACCCCATCAGTGAAGGTCCCCCACTCACCTCTTCCATCTCACATCCATCCTGGGGCCAGGTGGGGCCCTGACGTGACCCCTAGCAAGGGGCCATCCCTCCATCCACCCATGGCTGTCAGTCTGTCTCCCTCCCTCACTTTCCCAATAAATAAATCGCTCAGGCCTCAGCTCCTTCCAGGTGGGATGAAAGTACAGCTCAGGTATGGAGGAGCTGGGGTTCAGCCCTACATCCCTCCTACCCTTTGCTGGATCCCCAGGCTTGCCAAGGAGGCCTTGATAAATAAATAACGCTCCATTAAAGCTTCGATCAGAAAAACCTTTAAGACAGAAGTGCTCTCGCTGACCTGCAAACCCAGATGGCCAAGGCTCCCCGCCTGACCCAGTCAGTGTGCAGGATTTTGGGGGCAGGCGGCCACCCTGGGCCTCATGGGGCCCCTGGAGCAAGGAGACCAAAAGTGCAGTTAGAGCCCCCCAGAGCACACATGAACGCACGCACACACACGTGGACACACTGGGGCGTGTCTGCAGTGCACACACAGATGTGTTCACCTTCATTCTCCGGTACATGCACACATACATGCTCACACACCACTCACCCCAGGTACACTCGTGGGGCGTGCTGGGTGCATGCACATACACACCACAAACACAGAATCCTTCCCTTCCTGGCTTGCTCAGCCTCCAGGCGGTAGCCAGACCCCAGAGCTAGAAGCTTCTGGACACAGGAGAGGGGGTATAAATTAGACTGTTTCCAATCAGGCTGGGCAGATGGGCAGAGGGCTCCAGGGCTGCAAAGATGCGGGGGGGGGGATCTCAAGAGGCCCTGAGCCCCCCCCAGGCCCCGTCAGAAATCCAGGGGGGTGAGGTCCCCAAAGTCACAGTCGAAGAGGTCTCTGATGCCCTCGCCCTCCTCAAGGCCGAAGTGGTAGTCAAGAGCCTCGTGTGGAGGGGAAAGGCTGATGAACTCCTCGGGGAGAAGGCCGAAGTCCTCCCGCACGTGCTCCAGGAGCGAGTCAGCCGCCACCAGCGGGGATAGGCGGTCCTCGTCCACGGGGGCTCGTAGACCACCCATCCGGGACAGCAGCGGTTCTGGGGAGATGGGAGAGCATCACAGCCTGGGGGTGCCCCAGCAGGGAGGCCAGAAGGGGTGTCATGCCTGCCCACTCACCAGGGAGAAGCCCTGCCCCATTTACCCTTCACCCACCTTGCTCCAGGCTGAGCAGGGACTGGTCAGGATCCGTGGTGGGAGATGAGGGGGGAGATGATGGTGGTGGCACTGTGGTGTCTGGATCAGCCGCCCTGTCCTCCTCCCCAGAAGCTGCCCCCAGGGATGAGGTCTTCCCAGGGCTGTTCCCACCCGTGCTCTCCTCAGGGCACAGGAAAACATCGATGGGGCCTTGTTTGCTCTTAAGGGAGATCTGAAAGTTCTGGATGGAAGCAGCAGACAGGGGAAACTGAGGCCCGGGTGACAACCATCCTAGCCCAGCCCACTGGGCTCGGAGTCCCAGGTCTTACCTCTGAAGAGTCCACGGCTTGGAGCTGGGTCTCAGGAGGGGCCTTGATCACCATGACCATCTGCTCTGCAGGATCAGCGATGCTTCGAAGGTCCTGGCAGGTCACGTAAGCCAGGGTTGGAAGAGTCAAGGACCACAGGACCTTTGACCTCTGGGGCCAGTCACCCAGACAGCTCACAAGGCCTACGCCTACCTAATCGCTCCTGTTCTCAACCTTCTACCCCAGGTCTGGCACACAGTTGGTGCTCAGTCTCATTCCCCTGAGTCTCAATTTCCACACCTATAAAATGGGACCATTCTATCTATCGAATCCCAAGGTGATGGCAATGGCTATGTGCAGTAATTCCATGCAAAACCCGTAACACAACTGTAGACCTGGTGTCGGACTTATTTTGACCCATGATCTTGGTGTCAATTAATGCTTGTGCCCCAAACTTACAGTTTGGGTATCTACTAAAAATAAACAATTTTAATGAAGCTTCTAATTTTGTGAATTTGTGAATAATAAAAATATTTAAGTCTCTTTGAAATTAAACCATGTACTGAATCATTATATTAAATAAAGATTTATAGCTTGTACTTAGCTTTTTTAAAAAAATCTGTATCATTTCAGGATTGGATATTATCACCCCCTCATGGATGAAGCTAACAGCCAGAGAGGTAAAGTAACTTGTCCAGTAACACAGTGAATAAATACTGAGCCAAGACTTGCATGTAAGGCCAGAGCCCTCTCCTCAACCTCTGGGCCCACCTGGGTGGGGCCCACCTGCCAAGCTGACCCTCACACCCTCTAGCCAATCCAAGGATATCGCTGGGTGTCAGAGTCCTCGGAAAGCAGCTGCAGTTGCGTGGTACAGATGTGCATCAGGTGATCCAGCTGTTGCTCGCTTTCCTGTAGCTGCTGGAGGTCCTGAGTCAGCCCTTCGAGCCTCCCACCGAGTCCCACCGTGGCGTGGCTGCCTCTGTAGGGAGGCACCAGGAAGGTCAGCAGCTCCTGACACCCTTAACCAAGAACCTACTGCCTCTGTTCTGTGAGACCCATGCAAGTTCTTGCCCCTCTCTGGGTCTGGCTCTTCAACTGGCTCCAAACCAGACTGGCATGGTTTAAAGCCTGCCCCAAGGGACCAGCAGATAGTATAATGGTTACGTCACTGGACTCCCACATGGTTGACCACAGTTCAAGTCCTGGACCCAGCAGTTTGAAACTCATGCCAGGCACATGTGTGTACGTAGCCAAAATCCCAAGAAGAGAATGGAGGGGAAAGGACTGGTGTGGCCATACTTCCCGGGGGTGATTTCTTGCTTTCTCTTTTCTGTCTCTCTAGCGAGCACATACACCCTATAGCAAAAATCTCTCTCTCCCTCTCAAAAAAAAAAAAAATCCTGCCCTTAATGTCTTCAGACACCTACATGTGCCTGTTGGGCTGGATTAAATGATAGCACAGAAGTGCTGTGGAATACTATGTGGTCATACAAAAGGATGAGCCTGCATTAGACAGATACACATGCAAGCATTTCCAAAACATGTTGGCAAGTAAAAAGAAAAACAATTAAAACATGCCGGCAGCATGCTGGTTGAGGTGACTAGATCTCACATGGCCAACTGGGCGGTTTAAGTCCCAGACCCAGTGGGATGAGAAACATACTAGGTGCAAGTGCATGCATGCCCAAAATCCTGAAAGGAGGGAGGGAATGGAGGAGAAGAAATTACAGCGTGACCAGGCTCTAAGGAATGCTTTCTCGCTTTCCCCTCTACCTCAGCCCTAGCTAGTACATTGGCCCTCTGGCAAATATATATTTTTTTTTAAATGCAAAATAGAATGCTTTACCAAAAAATGGGAAAAGTGTATGTGTCAAAGAAAGGGTAGCAAAAAGAGTGGGGGAGAGGTGACAGGAGAGAAACAAGAATAACAACAAACATCGGTATGCAGTGCGGGCAATGACTGGGAAGGGGCGTGAGAAAACTTATAGGGTGGGCCAGCCAGTGGTGGGTGGGTAAGGCCTGGATCCCACATGGCCAGCAGCGTAATTAAGAGTCCTAGTCCTGGTGGCTTAAAAAACATGCTGGGTGTGTATGCACCCAAAATCCCTAGAGGGGAAAGAAGAGAAGGGAAAATCCTGAAAGGAGGGAGGGAATGGAGGAGAAGAAATTACAGCGTGACCAGGCTCTAAGGAATGCTTTCTCGCTTTCCCCTCTACCTCAGCCCTAGCTAGTACATTGGCCCTCTGGCAAATATATATTTTTTTTTAAATGCAAAATAGAATGCTTTACCAAAAAATGGGAAAAGTGTATGTGTCAAAGAAAGGGTAGCAAAAAGAGTGGGGGAGAGGTGACAGGAGAGAAACAAGAATAACAACAAACATCGGTATGCAGTGCGGGCAATGACTGGGAAGGGGCGTGAGAAAACTTATAGGGTGGGCCAGCCAGTGGTGGGTGGGTAAGGCCTGGATCCCACATGGCCAGCAGCGTAATTAAGAGTCCTAGTCCTGGTGGCTTAAAAAACATGCTGGGTGTGTATGCACCCAAAATCCCTAGAGGGGAAAGAAGAGAAGGGACTGTGGCATGGCCGTCCCCCCTGGAGGGTGCTATCTTATTCCTCCCCCCAACCCCATCATCTCTCTCCAGCAAATACACATCACTGTAACAAAATAAAACAAACAATCAAAAAAATAAACTTTCTGGGCTGTTGGGAATATTCTTTACCTTGATCCGAAGGTGGTAACCCAGGTGAGCAATTATGAAAGGCTACACTGAGCTGGAAATGTGGGATCTGTGTATTTCTCAGCATCTATCACCTCTTAGGGAAGCCACCACTCCTTTTTGAGCCTTGGTTTCCCTGGCTCTAAGGCAGGCAGCCACAATGGGCACTGCTACCAGTTCCTCCAGGCTGACGGGGGCCGGGCAAACATGCCTGCCAAACCTCTGCCTGTCCTCCTGTTCAGCTGGTACCTACAGCCATTGGATGTGGTTCTTAGACTTCTTGGCAATGAGCTGGATACCCTCGAGGACATTGGTGATGTCGTAGATGCGCCGTTTCTGCACCTTCAGCACCTCTGCTGCCCAGTTCAGGTCCACAACACCATCAGCTGAGCGGCTTAGCAGCTCCAGGAAGCGTTTGGTGGTCAGATTCAGTGATGTCTCATAGCGTGACTTCTCCCCTGGGGATTTCACACCTGGGGGGGTCAGGCAAGGCAGGGTCCCTCAGTGCTCATTCCCACCCCCAGCCAGGCCTGCCTAGCCCGCAATGCAGAGTACAGAACGATGGGTGGGTGCATGCATCTGGCTCCTTCCCTGCAGCCAGGCCAAGCAAGGAGGCCCTGTGGCTGCTGCCTGCCAACCACAGCATTCTTCTTCCTGCCAGGGGAACTCCCCACCCACAGGGTCTGGGGAAGCCATGCCAGGCAGCCACTCCAGCTGCCCCTCTGGGCCCCCCACAGACCTGGCCCAGGCTCAGTCCGACAAGCCAGACTTTAATATACAAGCATGTTTGTCTGTCTGTACCACAAGCTGGACCTGCCCAACCCAAGTTCCATGGGTACCTTTTCCTGGGTGGCGGCCTCTGCCCCGGACTGGCCCACTGCTCTCAGCCAGGTACTGATGGTCAGTTTCAAGGTCCAACCTCCGTTTCACCTGCAGCAATAATGGGAAGATTGCCCAGTAACCAGGAGTGAGGCCACAGGGACCTGGCTGAGGGCCTAGTGACTCTGGGTGCCCTTTAGCTCAGTTTCCCTGCTAGGATGACTAGGCCTGGGAGGGAGGGAGGTCTTTGAGACCCTACCCTGGGGGTCACAATCCTCCACACAGGACAGACAGAAGATCAAGTCCCAGCTCAACAACCACCTCCCTGAGGGTCAGTGGTGGTTTTGTTTATTTCTTTTGAGAGAGATTTTGGCTATAAGATGCATGTGCTCACTGGAGAGATAGAAAGCAAGAAATTGCCACCTGGGGGAATGGCCACACTGCAGTCCCCTCGCCTTCATTCTCCTCTCAGGATTATGGACACACACACACACACATGCCTGGCATGAGTTTTAAGCAGCCGGGTCTGGGACTCGAACCTGAGTCGACTGTCTGGGATCCAGCAATATACCATTATACCATTTGCTGGTCCTCAGTGGTTGTTTTTCCAAACATCTGCCCCAGGGGCTGGCAGGTAGCATAGTGGTTAAGGCACCAGACTCCCAGATGGCCAACTGCAGTTCGAGTCCCAGACCTGGCAGCTTGCTTTCTCACTTTCCCTTTCTCCCTCTCTCTGGTCAAATTAAAAATAATAATCATGGCAAATAAAAGTAAATAAATAATTAGAAAAAACAGTCTGTGTTTTCTGATACTTCTTTTTCTTTTTTTAATACTTCTTTCAAAAGATGAAACCTAACTTTTCTTTCTTTTCTTTTTTTTGGAGAGGTTTTTGCCATAGGGCGCGTGCGCTCACCAGACAGACAGAGATAGAAAGCGAGAAATCACCCCCCAGAGGGGATGGTCACACCGCAATCCCTTCTGGCAAATAAAAGTAAATAAATAATTAGAAAAAACAGTCTGTTTTCTGATACTTCTTTTTCTTTTTTTAATACTTCTTTCAAAAGATGAAACCTAACTTTTCTTTCTTTTCTTTTTTTTGGAGAGGTTTTTGCCATAGGGCGCGTGCGCTCACCAGACAGACAGAGATAGAAAGCGAGAAATCACCCCCCAGAGGGGATGGTCACACCGCAATCCCTTCTCCTCCATTCTCCTCTCGGGATCTTGGGCACGCACGCACACGTGCCCGGCATGAGTTTAAGCCACCGGGTCCAGGACTCGAACCGCAGTAAACTATGTGGGAGTCCAGCGACATAGCCATTACGCTAACTGCTGGTCCCAAACCTAACTTTTCTTAAATATGGGTCAGATCAAGTAACTTGTTTCTAACGAGAATGTAGTAGGAATGGTGGTGTCACGTCTGAGGCGGGGTCACAGGAGCATAGGAGCTTCTTCCTGCTCTTTACATTGGATCGTTCACTCCAAGAGTCAGCCATGTCATACAGAACTGTAAGTGGCCCTAATGACAGGCCACGGGGCACAGAACTAAGGCTTCCTACCAACAATGACATGGACAAGCTTAGAAGCAAATCCTCAGGCGGGCCAGGTGGCATAATGGTTAAGGCAGTTGGATCCTGCAGGGCCAACTACAGGTTTTTTCACCTGGCGGCTTAAGAAACACACCATGGGGAACCAGCAGTTAGTGTAATGGCTATGTTGCTGGACTCCCACGTGGTTGACCGCGGTTCGTGTCCCGGACCCAGTGGCTTAAAACTCACGCCGGGCGCGTGTGCGTGTGTGCCCAAGATCCTGAGAAGAGAGTGGAGAAGGGATTGCGGTGTGACCATCCCCCCTGGGGGGTGATTTCTCGCTTTCTGTCTCTGTTTCTCTCTGTCTGGCGAGCACATGCGCCCTATAGCAAAAAAAAAAAAAGAAAGAAAAGAAACACGCCATGCATGTGTACACACCCAAAATGCCAAGAAATTTTGGTGTGGTCAGTCCCTCTGGGGGGTTGCTTTTTCCCTTTCTCTCTCTCTCTCTTTTCCTCCCTTCAGAGAGTGCACCTGCCTTATAGCAATTTTTTTTTCCTTTTTAAAAGCAAGCTCTCAAACCTAGAAACAACTTCTGAGAACCACAGCCTAGGATGACCCTTCGGCTGCAACCTCACAAGAGACCCTGGGCCAGAAACATTCGGCTAAGTCTCCCTGAATCCCTGACCCACAGCAAGTGTGTGACAATGTTTGTTGTTTTAACTCACTGAGTATACAAGTCCCTTGGGCAAGTGATATCCTCTCCTCTGTTTTTTTGTTGTTGTTGTTGTTAAGAATTATTTAATTTTATTTATCGTCATTATTTTATTTATTTGAAGTTGACCAGAAAGACACAGAGAGGAAGAAGGAAAGAGAGAGAGCAGGCTGCCAGGTCAGGGACTTAAACTGCGGTCAGCCTTGTGGTAGTACAGCCACCTTAACTACCATGCCAACTGCTGGCCCCATGTCCTCTGTTTTTTTTGACTAATCAAACAGGCTGGCGCAGAGCGCATGCTAGTCCTCACTGTGTGTCCCACCTTCCTAGAGCCCGATCCCATAGCCATGGCAGCAGCCAGTGCTCACCAGATGCTGTACGGACTGTACTTCGTTCCGTCCCATGGACGGGCAGCACAGTAACAGCCCATTTTACTGGAGAGGTGACTGAAGCCCAAGGAGGTCCAAGGTCTTATGGCCAGGAAGCGTCAGAGCCAGGGTTCCTACCCTCCACCTATGCCTTCTGGTTTTGGCCAGACACTCAGGGATGGTGACTGTCCTGAAAGTCCCACAGGCATACCTCAAAAGTAGCCTACGGGGGCCAGAGGTGGCATGGAGGTTATGGAACTCGATCCCACCAGGCTGACTGTGCAGTTTGAGTCCTTGACCCGGAGGCCTAAAAATCATACTTGGCCATGTGTGCCCAAAATCCCAGGAGAAGGGATTGCAGCATGGCCATCTCCCCTGCGGGTGATTTCTTTTTCCTTCTCTGGTAAGTACACATGCCCTGTAGCAAAAAAAAAAAAAAAGAAAAGAAAAAGAAAAAGAAAAAAAAGCACCCTGACCAAAACCAGACTTAACCTCCCCTCCTGGTTTCCTGAGCTCAAACCCCATTCAACTGGCCACGTGGGCTGCTCAGCAGTCCCCACACTGGTGTCCCAGCCTCCTATAAATCTTCCCTGTTACCACCCCTGCAGGAGACCTTCCATTGCCTCAGTACCCACCCCTCACTGCTGCCTCAGTACCCTCCTCCATGTGAACTTTGGCTCACACGTGTTTTCCACAAATCTGAGCCCCCAAGCCTTAGCCCATGCTGGGCCCCCTTACCTCTTCACACCTGCTGCTTCCACCTCTGTGGGCAGGAACCATAGGGTCACTTAATAAGAGAGACCACCTCTTCTCCTCCATCTGAACTGCCTCAAACCCGACCCTTCCCACATCCTGTCTCTGGCTACAGATTTCTGCAGATGTGTCTGTCTCATCCTCAGAGCCGGGCATGGGGTCTCAGTTTCTGCATCCAGTGTCAGGTATGGGGCCTGGGCATCGACAGCTGTTTGCTGAATGAGCCTCCCCATGCGATGATGAACATGACACACCCTCCCACTGGCGCAATCGCTGGCTCCCTCAGGTTCCCAGAGCAGAGCTAGGTTCGCTGTGACTGAGCCTGTGAGTCACTGCTCCGCCACCACTGCTCACCAAGCCCTCCCACCAGCTCACTGCAGCTGCTACCATGGCCTCCACCTCAGTGAGGTCCCACAGCTGGTGAGAAGTGGGGCCAGGGTTTGCACCCTAACAGGCTGGCCCAGAGCTCAGTCCACAAGCCAGGCCCCAACAAACCAACCAGCATGTACCCCCTTCTCCAGCCCTGCCCTGGGTCTTGAACCCTAGCATGTTCCTACAACCACAACCCTCGCTTTCTCCCTGGTCCCTGCCCAGCCCTGAAGACAGGTCAGTGTCATACCCTAAAAGGAATGTTCAGATGACCATTTCTGCCACTCATTCTAGACAAACCCTGGCCCAGGGGCCTCAAGAGTTGGGGGGAGGGGACCAGCAGATGACATAATGGTTATGTCACTGGACTCTCATGTAGTCGACTACGGTTTGAGTTCTGGACCTGGTGGCTTAAAACTCACACTGGGGATGTGTGAGTGTGTGAGCACCCTGACCAAAACCAGACTTAACCTCCCCTCCTGGTTTCCTGAGCTCAAACCCCATTCAACTGGCCACGTGGGCTGCTCAGCAGTCCCCACACTGGTGTCCCAGCCTCCTATAAATCTTCCCTGTTACCACCCCTGCAGGAGACCTTCCATTGCCTCAGTACCCACCCCTCACTGCTGCCTCAGTACCCTCCTCCATGTGAACTTTGGCTCACACGTGTTTTCCACAAATCTGAGCCCCCAAGCCTTAGCCCATGCTGGGCCCCCTTACCTCTTCACACCTGCTGCTTCCACCTCTGTGGGCAGGAACCATAAGGTCACTTAATAAGAGAGACCACCTCTTCTCCTCCATCTGAACTGCCTCAAACCCGACCCTTCCCACATCCTGTCTCTGGCTACAGATTTCTGCAGATGTGTCTGTCTCATCCTCAGAGCCGGGCATGGGGTCTCAGTTTCTGCATCCAGTGTCAGGTATGGGGCCTGGGCATCGACAGCTGTTTGCTGAATGAGCCTCCCCACGCGATGATGAACACGACACACCCTCCCACTGGCGCAATCGCTGGCTCCCTCAGGTTCCCAGAGCAGAGCTAGGTTCGCTGTGACTGAGCCTGTGAGTCACTGCTCCGCCACCACTGCTCACCAAGCCCTCCCACCAGCTCACTGCAGCTGCTACCATGGCCTCCACCTCAGTGAGGTCCCACAGCTGGTGAGAAGTGGGGCCAGGGTTTGCACCCTAACAGGCTGGCCCAGAGCTCAGTCCACAAGCCAGGCCCCAACAAACCAACCAGCATGTACCCCCTTCTCCAGCCCTGCCCTGGGTCTTGAACCCTAGCATGTTCCTACAACCACAACCCTCGCTTTCTCCCTGGTCCCTGCCCAGCCCTGAAGACAGGTCAGTGTCATACCCTAAAAGGAATGTTCAGATGACCATTTCTGCCACTCATTCTAGACAAACCCTGGCCCAGGGGCCTCAAGAGTTGGGGGGAGGGGACCAGCAGATGACATAATGGTTATGTCACTGGACTCTCATGTAGTCGACTACGGTTTGAGTTCTGGACCTGGTGGCTTAAAACTCACACTGGGGATGTGTGAGTGTGTGCCCAAGATCCCTAAAGGAGGAGGAGAAGGGATTACAGCGTGGCCATCCCCACTGGGGGGGATGTCTCGCTTTGTGTCTCTCTATCTCTCTCTGTCTTTCTGATGAGTGCACGTGCTCTATAGCAAAACACTCTAAAAACAAAAAATCTCAAATATTCATCCATGGAGAGGGCCAGAAAAACTGGCTTAGTCAGCTCCTAGAGTACCATGCAGCTGGTGAAGGACTGAGGCAGGTGGACATGGACTCCTCGCAGACACCAGGCAAGCAAGACACTGTTATTGGACAATCTGTGATGCCTTTGTGGATTAAAAAGTTCATGAAACTTTGCTCTGGCTTATTTTCTATTACTACAGAATGCATTTCAGGGGCAACCTATGTGAGGACCAGCAGATGGCATAATGGGAGACTGTTGCCTGTGTAAACGATGCATTGTTTGAACGTGGAGATCGGAAAAAATAGTTCTTAAAACTAAAAAAATGCAGACCAGCAGTTAGCGTAATGGCTGTGTCACTGGACTCCCATGTAGTCGACCACAGTTCGAGTCCCGGACCCAGTGGCTTAAATTCATGCCAGGTGTGTGTGCGCCTGCATGCCCAAGATCCCCAGAGGAGAATGGGACTGTGGCGTGGCCATCCCCACTGGAGGGTGATTTCTCGCTTTTTGACATGGCCACCCACAGTTCAAATCCTGGACCTGAGAGCTTGCTTTCTCACTCTCCCTCGAACTCTCTCTGGCAAAACTCATATGAAAAACTATAACAATAAAGTAAATAATTCTTTTAAAAAAATAAAAGAAATTAAGCTTTCGGGACCAGCAGTTAGTGTAACGGCTATGTCGCTGGACTCCCACGTAGTTGACTGCGGTTCGAGTCCGGACCCGGTGGCTTCAACTCACGCCGGGCGCGTGTGCGTGCATGCCCAAGATCCCGAGAGGAGGATGGAGGAGAAGCGATTGCGGCGTGGCCATCCCTCCTCGGGGATGATTTCTCGTTTTCTGTCTCTCTGTCTCTCTCTGTCTCTTGGGTGAGCGCACCTGCCCTATAGCAAAACAAAACAAAACAAAACATTGGGGGACCAGCCGTTGACATAATGAAAAAAAAAAAGAAATTAAGCTTTCTTTAGTAAGCACAGATGACAGGTTGAGTATCCCTTACCTGAACCATTTGGAACCTGAAGTTCAGATTTTGGATTTCAGAATATTTGCCTTTACATAAGATATCAAGGGGCGGGGCCAGCAGGTGACATAGTAGTTAAGGCGGTGAACTGCCACATAGTTGACTGTGGTTTGAATTCTGGACCCGGCAGCTTGAAACTCCCACACATGCATGCCGAAAATCCTGAGAGAAGGGACTGAGGCATGGTCATCTCCCTTGGCGTGGGGGTGGGGTGGGGTGATTTCCTACTTTCTGCCTCTCATGTCTCTGTCTCTCCGGCAAGAATATGCGCCCTGTAGCAAAAATTCCCCCCCTCTCAAAAAAAATGAAGATATTGTGCTCGCTTCGGCAGCACATACACTAAAAAAAAAATGAAGATATTAAGGGGGTGAGACCCAAGTGTAAACACAAAATTCATGTTTCATATCCATCTCATATAGGACAGAGCATCTTCAAAAAGTTCAATAAAAATATGTATTATGAAAAAATTATCCATGGATTTCAATTTTTTTCTACTTAAATAAACTAATTTGGTTTCTTTTTTTTTGAGAGATTTTCGCTATAGGGCGCGTGTGCTCGCCAGACAGACAGAGAGAGACAGAGAGACAGAAAGTGAGAAATCACCCCCCAGAGGGGATGGTCACGCCGCAATCCCTTCTCCTCCATTCTCCTCTCGGGATCTTGGGCACGCACACACATGCGCCCGGCGTGAGTTTTAAGCCACTGGGTCCAGGACGCAAACCGCGGTCGACTACGTGGGAGTCCAGTGGCATAGCCATTACGCTAACTGCTGGTTCCCAGTAATTTGGTTTCTTCACAAGTTTTTTTTCTAGGTTTTGGTCATAAGGTGTGTAAACTCTCCAGATAGGGAGGGAAAGATGTGAAAAATCACTCCCCAAGGGAATGACCACACAATATCCTTTCTCCTCCATTCTCCTTGGGATTTTGAGCATGCATGGACACACGCAGTGTGATTTTCAAGCTGCTAGGTCTGGGACTTGAACTGCGGTCAACAATATAAGAGTCCAGTGTCTTGGGACAAACAGATGGCGTAATGGTTACATTGTTGACTCCCACTTAGTCTACCCGCATCCTGGACCTGGTGGTTTAAAACTCATGCAGGGCATGTGTGTGTGTGTGTGTATGTGTGTGTGTGTACGCACAAAATCCCAAGAGGAGAATGGAGAAGGGACTGTGGCGTAGCCATCCACCCTCGCTGGTGATTTCTGTCTGTCTGGTTAGCGCACACACCCTAGAGTAAAACAATTTCTTAAACAAAAGCCCAGTGCCTTAACCAACACACCACCTGCTAGCCTCCACCAACTTTTTATTTTAAATAATTATTTTATTCAACTTTATTATTATTATTTAATTTGACTACAGAAAGACAAAGAGAGAGAGGGAAAGTGAGAAAGCAAGCCTCCAGGTCTAGGACTTGAACCGTGATCAGCCACGTGGGGAGTCCACTACCTTTAACTACCATGCCACCTACTGGCCCCTCCACACTTTTTGAAGTACCAGCAGAACATATAGCCTGAAAGTCATTTTAGTTTTTCCTTATTCATGATTAAGAGTACATGCACACAAGAGATGAGAGATGAGGACCCTTCCCGGGTTCTGGTCACACCTTACTTCATAACCCCCTTACTTCAGTCCTCAAGTCCATTTGATCTTGGGCATCCACGTATGTGCCATATCTCAGGCTGACCAAGCTAGGGATCTGAACCACAGTTGCCATTAAAGATCTAGCTTCTCTTGAGCAGTCTCTTACCACTGTGCCACAAAGAGCCAGCCCTGAAGGTAATTTTATACAGTATTTTTGTATTGTAGTGCTCTGACTGTAACCTGTCTCGTGAGATCAGGGGTAGAGACTTCCACCTATAGTGTCATGGCAGCACTCAGAAAGATTTAGCTTTTGGAGCACTTCAGATTTTTAGATTAGGTTGCTCAACCCGTATGCTTAATTTTTAAAATGTAATTATTTATTATTTTAAAACTTGGTACAGGGCACATCTGCTCACCAGAGAGAAAGTGAGAAAGCAAGCAGCTAGGGTCCAGGATGCAAACCACAGTCAGCTATATGGGAGTCGAGCATCTCAACCACCATGCCACCTGCTGGGCCCCTGTATATTTATTTATTTTTAAAAAGAACTATTTCTTTTATTTAATTTTATTTATCATCTTTTTATTTTTTTGAGAGGTTTTTTTAAAAAAATAATTATTTTAGTTAATTTTATTCATTGTCATTGTTACTATTTTTTCAAGTTGACCAGAGAAAGACAGAGAGAGAAGGGAAGTGAGAAAGCAAGCTGCCAGGTCTAGGACTCGAACCATGGTCAGCCATCTGGGAATCTAGCTGCCCCAACCACCATGCCACATCCCAGGCCCTAGAGAGAGGGTTTTTATGCTATAGGGCACATGTACTCACCAAACGGACAGATAGAAAACAAGAAATCACCCCCCAGGGGGGATGGCCACGCTGCAATCCCTTCTGCTCCATTCTCCTCTCAGGATCTTGCGCACGCATGCACACGTGCCCGGCATGAGTTTTAAGCCACCAGGTCCGGGACGCAAACCGTGGTCGACTATGTGGGAGTCCAGCGACATAGCCATTATGCTAACTGCTGGTCCCAGGCTTATTTATTTCTTCTATGAGACAGAGACAGTCAGACAGCACTCTCAACCTCAGCCAGCCCTGGATCATGGGCACACATGTCCAGTGTGCTCAGGGAGATCTTCATACATGAACCCAGAACCTTTCCATGTGTGCCAGCCTCACAGAGTGTCACATTTACCACTGCACCACCGTCTGGACCCTCCACCTGGGCATTTATAATGGAAAATTTCTGTTCTATTTTTAACAGCCATGACAAGAGTAGAGGTGAATAGGTGGGGCCAGGAGGAAAGGCTGACTTGCACAGAGCCTCATATACAGAAGGCGCTCAATGTATGCTCATTGCAGAGGCTGAGCCTGTAGCTTACTTCAATGACTGCCCCACATAAGTGTCCAGTGCAGAGAATCGGTGAAGGCCAAAAGCTGGACCCACATTTCTGGACTTCAGCTTCAGGATGGTGCCAGCCTTCTTCCCTGTCCAGACAGAAAACGCCTACTGGCCTTTAAATTCTGGAAGGCAGGACTCTTCACCTGCCTCTCACCTCTTGGGCTCCCACTAAGTCAAAGACTGTGGAATGAACGGAATGCCTAACACCACTGGGGGTGGAGCAGAGGGCATTTCTCTTCCTCTCAGCCAAGAGACAACACTCAGCTCTCTGTGGGTACAACCCACCAGTTCTATTGGGTCTCAGAGTCTAGGCCTGGCTAAGTGCTTGTCACACAGCTAAATGGAGGACACTTGCCCAGGCCCCAGGTTGATAATGGCAGGGACAAGCCCCTAGATTTATAGGAGACAAGCCAGCTGACCCACCTGGGTACAACCCCTCTCCTGCTCACTCATTAGGAACCTTTCTGGGCTTTCTTCCACTCCTCTGAGCATCTCCAGGAGACATCTGCAAGGCATCCCTGTGGTCAACACCTCAGGATATTTGGACTGGTCCCACCACTTTAGATGAATGACTAGTGAAGGCTCGAACATCTCTAGGCCTCAGCTTCCCTATCTGGAAAAGGGAAAGGTTGCTGACAGGGTTAAACATGCTAATTGGGTAAAGTGCTTGGCACAGAGCCTGGCACAAAAAACATCCTCAAAACAATAGTGGCTTCATTGTTATTATTATTAGCATCTTGGTGATTTCGGAAGGAAGGCCACACTGGGCATGTGGCCAAAGGGGGTGAGGGAGGCTTCTCAGGATGCCTCAGGGACCAGCTGCCACCCACATCCCCCATCAGCTGCAAAGCAACTTCTCCCTCCTTGCCCCTCCCACTTGCACCCAGTCCCCTACCGGGACCCCATCTTGCCAGGCTAGCCCCACCTTCACCCACTGCACCAGTCAAACTGGTCTGCACACCCTGCCCTGCAGCCCACAGGCCCAAGCTCCAGGCTTCACTCCCTGCTCCCACTATAACTCAGCTGCTTCTTCTGGGCCCCCCACTGTCTGTGGGCCTTGAGCCTCCTGCCAGTCAAGGATCATGAAGGACTTTATGGAGGGATCTCCCTGGAACACTTTCACTCTCTCCTAGCACTGGGAACTTCCTTTCAGCTCCCAGAGGCCCAGCCCACCCAGTCCTTCCCCACAGGCTCAGGGGTCTGCCTGCCTGATTAATGAGGTTCCATGGCAACCAGGGCCCCGCAGGGGTGGAGGGTGGAGGGTGGCAGATGGAAGGACAGGCAGAAGGAGGGGATCAGCAGCTGGCCCAACCGCCCCGCCCCTACAGAAGAGGCCTCCCAGCCAGGAGGCCTGTCCCCAGAGGCCTGGAGGGCCAGGCCTGCACCTGGCAGTCGAGCATCAGGGAAAGGAGGGTCCCCTCAATGGTTCACGAACGGTCAGGCGCCAGGACCTTCCCCCCCACCCCCCGCCTCCTCTTCTTCCCTCCCCAAGCAGCCGCGCCCACCAGCCAGCCGCAAATTCTGGTCCAAAGCCAGCAGGCCTCAATTCAAATCCCACCCCCACCACCTGCAGCCGTATGACCAGAGGCAAGTCAGTTTCCCTCTCTGGGCCTCAGTTCCTCCTTCGTCAGATGCACACTGCCGCAACACCGAGGTGGAGAGTTTTAGCTAGCTTGAAGTTTGCCAAAGGCCTGGCAATGCAGCAAGCGCCAGTTGAATACACGTGGGCCATTATTATCACCGAGTCCGAAGCTGGAACGGCTCGAGTGAGGAAGCGGAGGTCCAGCACATAGAGGAGCAAACAGGGACGGCCCGAGGTCATCCCGCACCCCGGGGCGGGGCCGGAGGCCCAGCCCAAGCTCCGCACCGCCCAGCCCAGCGTCTCAGTCCACCCCTCCCCCGCCCTGCGCGGCCTCCGGGCCACAAACCGC